AACTCCGTCTCAAAAAAAAAAAAAAAAGTACTGAGCTACTATAATACTATAATGTTTAATCTTATTTGTAGCATATAAACGGAGGGCTCTGTGTTGTCTAGCAAGAATACTTCTATTTTTGTGTACAAAAATTAGTCCTATCTAAATGAGCCTTAAAATACATTTTTTAAAAAATACTTGAGAACCTTGAAGGTGTTTGTCTATTTTACTGCTACATGTACAAGTCGATCAGAAGTGACACCTGTACAGACTCTGCCCTGAAAAGAATCAGTACCATAGCTTTACTGTTGTAGTTTAGACTTGGGAACGGCTGACATTATCAGCTATGGGGCAACACAGGCGCAGTTTTCAAAACCAGACTCCCCTGCTGTCTAATACCTGCATCTGAGGGCAACACGGTGAGCGGGACATCTTTGGTTTCAATTTTTACAGAAGGCTCCAGTAGGGACTGCATTTTAATAGGCACTGGTGTCAGGGGGACCTTGGTCAATCTTATCAGCTCTGAAGGCGGAGCCCCCTGAAACTGGATCCGGGCCCCGGGCGAAACGGTGTGGAGAGTCAAAGGGATCCTCAGGTCTTGTTGGTGCGGCCCAAAGGCACCGGACGGCGGGGCCAGGATGACCTCCGCGCTGCCATGAACCAGGCCATTGGACGCGGGCTCGGCGCGGAGCCTGCAGTCCTCCAGGAGTCTCTCGGGTTCCTCCGTTTTGATGACTCCTTCTAGGGTGGCCGCCGGGCTTTTGCCTTCCCCGCCTTGCCTCGCGTCCCGCATGACCTCCGCCTCCAGCTTGCCCTTCTCGTTCCCTCGGAAGTAGTCGAGGGCGGGCCCGGGGCCTTCCACCTTGACCGCCCTGGAGGTTCTAGGGCCGGTCTCCACCGCCCCCTGAGGCCCCACCGACAGGTCCAGGCCAGGCCCCAGCTCCTGCTTCTCGGCCTTGACATGCAGCACCCGCGGCTGCACCGGGTGCAACTCCGGCCTGAAGGGGGCGCCCTCGGACGCGGCCGGCGACGGCAGGAGCAGCAGGTCGGGCCTAAACTGCAGCAGTCGCGCCTGCGCGGGCGAGGCAGCGGCGTCTTCGTCTCCGGCCTGAGGTTGTGGTAACAGCAACACCTGCTCCGGGTTCACCTGCACCAGCCGCCGCGCCGCTGACTGTAAGCCGGCCGACGCGGCCTCCCCGCACGAGGAAGCCAGCGTCGCAATGGCGGCCACGCCCGGTGTGGGCGGCGACGGAGGGGGCTCCCCGGCCGCTGCCCAAAAGGAGGCACCCTCGACCGGCAGCGGGGGCGGAGCGGGACGCAACGGGCGCGGTGGAGGAACCCGCGGCAGTTGGCGCGGCTGAGGCGGCGGCTCCGGCCTGGCCCTCTCCATGGGGGAGGGGGACGCCCCGGCCTAGCCCCGGCCGGGATTGTGAGCTCAGCCGTTTGTTGGCGACCTTCCCACTCCCACTTTCGGTTAAGACCCTTCGAAGGCCTTTGCTACCCAGAACCCTACGCGGTTCAAAATGCAGCTCTCTGTCTTGGCTCCACCCAATCACAAGCGACAGATACCCCCGGATGGCCAATCACAGGCGGGTTTTTCTGGCTCTTCCCGGGCCCTACTCTCGCCTGGTGCTGAGTCCTCCAATCACCCGCAATGGCGGGAGCCGAGGCGCGTGTTGTCCATTTTTCCCCGTGCTTTGACTCTCCCTCTCTTCCGGAGTTCTCTTCTGGCCGTTGTCCTTAGCTGTCAACCCCGCCTGCTCGGAGCTGTGACAATGGCGTTGCCCAGGAAACCTTGCGCTTCCATGCCGCTGACGTCCAGGGAATAAAGTCTTGGGTGTGGCCTTGTGCACGCGCTTTGGGTGGACTGAGTACAGTGTCTGCCCTAAGTATCACCAGGGCTTTTGAATCTTTGCCAAGGGACAATGGGGAAGATTTTGCGACTTATCAATAACTCATGAGCTGTTTTTGCTGGGGAGGGTCTTCGACTTTGTGTGATTCTTCTGCCAAAGTTTTGATTAATCACCAGGCCCTGCGGCCCTGCTTCCGAATTATTATACGTCCCATATTCATCCACTTCTTTGTGTCTCTACTGCCATTACCCTGTTCCAGGCTCCTGCCATCTTTCACTGGGATACTGCCATAGCCCTGTAAATAGTCTCCCTGCCTGTCACCCCTGCACTACACACCAGTACCAATGATCTTTTGAAAACACAAATCTAAGGTTGTCACACTTTTCCTAAAGCTTTCCATGGCTCCCCACTGATCATGTGATAAAAGTCTAAAATTCTTGGCAAAGCCTTAAAAATCCCTCAATGGCTTGGGCTCTAACCTACTACTATTAGGTTGGTACAAAAGTAGTTGTGGTTTTTGCCATTAAACAGTTACCACTCTGGCCCTGACTCTTTAGGTTTCAGCCGCATTGGCCCCCTCATCATTCTCTTTCTAAAGCAGTGTGTTTAAACATGCTCAGCATGCTACTCTTTGTTTTGTGTCTCCTTAATTCCTCCTGCCCGTTTTTCAAATTGCAACTCAAGTGGGACTTCAGAGAAGCTTTTACTGACTCTGAAAATCAGGTCAAATCTTTGTCTACTTACACGTCTATCACTTCGTTTGCTAACCACAGCTTGGAATTAGAATTTTTATGTCATGATTCAACTGCCTCTCCCACTTGACTATAATGTCCTTGAAGGCAGAATTGTTTGTGTTTTGCCCTTTACTGAATCCCCAATACAGACCATTGAGCCTGGCATATAGTATTCAATAAATACTTGAATAAATAAATAAATGAATAGCGACTGTGAAAGGTAATAATAATCACTACCTGTGTTAAGGGCTTACTCTTATGCTAGACACTGTTCCAAATCCTTTCCACACTTACGCCTCTCCTTTTACTAGGATTGTGTTTATTTTCATTAAACATCACCAAGAAAAACAAATAGAAATCCTGTATTAACACTTGCTGCATATCTAAATGACATTCTGGCCAAATGCTATAGTTTATCTTGAAGTAGATGATTTTGCAATTAAGACAAGTTATCGCCGGGCGCGGTGGCTCAAGCCTGTAATCCCAGCACTTTGGGAGGCCGAGGTGGGTGGATCACGAGGTCAAGAGATCGAGACCATCCTGGTCAACACGGTGAAACCCCGTCTCTACTAAAAATACAAAAAATTAGCTGGGCATGGTGGCGCGTGCCTGTAATCCCAGCTACTCAGGAGGCTGAGGCAGGAGAATTGCCTGAGCCCAGGAGGCGGAGGTTGCGGTGAGCCGAGATCGCGCCATTGCACTCCAGCCTGGGTAACAAGAGCGAAACTCCGTCTCAAAAAAAAAAAAAAAAGACAAGTTATCACTCAAAGAAGACTAACTCCAATTCATTGTGTAATCCTCTGATAACAAATATGGTAAATAGGAGTTCCTGTAATTGGCAGATAGACAAGGGCAACGGTTTTCAAACTTTTATCTCAATAACTTTTCATACTCCTAAAAGCTATTGAAGATCCCAAAATTGCTTTTGTTCATGTGGATTTCAGCTCTCAATATTTACCATGTTGTAAATGAAAACAAATTTTAAAAATAGTTGCCAACTCATTTAAGACATCAACAATAAAACCATTATGCGGTAACACATTTTCATGGGAAAAAAGTATATTTCCCTGACATTATACTCACAAGAGAATGAAGTAAAAAGAGCAAATATTGCATTAGGATTATTATGAAAATAGTTTTAACCTAGCCAACTCTCTGAAAGTGTCAGTCCCCATACACACTTTGAGAACCACTGCACTAAGATTTAAATGGAAGAGGCAACTGTGTGCACAAACAAAAGCTGATAAAAGAGGCAAATAAATCAAGTTGTTAGAGGTGTGTGAACCAGACTGACTCCACCTTGAGTAGGGACTGGGTAAAGTAAGGCTGAAACATCCTGGGTTGCAGTCCCAGACAGTTAAAGCATTCTAAGTCACAGGATGAGATAGGAGGCTGGTACAAAATACATGTCATAAAACCTTTGCTGATAAAATAGGTTTCAATAAAGCAGCTGGCTAAAACCCACCAAAACCAAGATGGTGACGGGAATGACCTCTTGTCATCCTCACTGCTACACTGAACACCAGCACCACAACAGTTTATAGATGCCATCGCAAAGTCAGGAAGTTACCCTATAATGGTCTGAAAAGGGGAGGCATGAATAATCCACCCCTTGTTTAGCATATCATCAAGAACTAACCATAAAAATGGGCAACCAGCAGCCCTTGGGGCTACTCGGTCTATGGAGTAGTCATTCTTTTATTCCTTTATTTTCTTAATAAACTTGCTTTCACTTTACTCTATGGACTTGCCCTGAATTCTTTCTTGTGCCAGATCCAAGAACCCTCTCTTGGGGTCTGAATCCAGATTCCTTTCCTGTAACATCTTTCTGGCTACCCAGATGGGATTATAGTGCATAAGCCCCCAGTAAGTAAGTAGTGGGATCCTGTAATATCTTTCTGGTGACTACAGAATGGACTATACTGTGAAAACCCCCGACCCAAAGGCTAACTTTGGGTAAGTGGTGGGGTCTGGTAACATCTTTCTGGTGATTTTTACTTTTGGTGAAGACCCTGGTTTGTAAGCAGGTGGACCCTACAGGGACGATACTGGGGAGACCCGTGACTCAAAGGACGTAGACTGCAGCACTGATTGGACAATTTTGGGTAAGTGGTAGGATACCCAGATAAGGAATGGGATTGGGTTAGAGGCCCAACTTAGGAGGATTAGAGTCCCTTCTAAGATTTAGGGGGTCAAAAGCCCCTCTCAGTAAAGTCCCTTTCAGCTAAGAACAGGTTTGGCACTACGGGATGTTAACTTCTGTTCTCCTTGGAATAATCTGCCTTGTACTCCTTGCTGACAGCTGTGGGTGACAGGGTTAGGCATGTACAAGATCATTGCGATATGAGGAGCTTTTTCCTCCCATAAAGGGGAAACTCGAGACTGATGGGACTGCTGGAAAAGATCCCTTCACTATCAAGAAGCAGCCGACTGAACTTTTCGCTGTCACTGCAATGAGTGGGTCTTTCTCTGGCTTCCCTGAGCGCCTCCCCTTCCCCACCCTGCGTCAGACAATACTTTCGTCTCTCTCTCTGTGCAAACTGGTTGTAGGAATGGCAAAAATCGACTATTTCTTACAAAGTTTTGATTAATGGAAGAAAGGATTTGAGAGGCTAGTCTTAAGCTGTAGCCAATCTGGAGTGTTTCGTGTGCCATTCGGTATTGTTCTGTCATAAAGAAGGGTACCTTAGGATAGAACACGGGCTTAGGACACCTATAAGACTGCTGTTCAAGATGGACTAGCAAACTGGTCAATTACAAACTTTGCTGCAAGTCCTCGGAAAAAAACTGGATGAGGTTTCCCTCTTGTCTGGTATGTCCTTGGGAGCTTGACCTTGTAACCACGTGGCTGTGCTTTCTCTTTCATAGTGGTGGCCTGGGTTCAGGGTTTAATTCTCATCTTAGGAGATGAGTCCTTTATCTTTTATCTGTATGAGTATTTATATGTATCATGTGTGTGATGTTTATATATAAAAGAGCTTTGATTAATTGGTTAAAAATAATAAGTCCTTAAGTCATATTTTTGTGAGAAAAATTAAATTATAATGCCTTTTATTTTGTTCATCTGACTTAAGTAATCTTTGGGAAATGACAGTTTTAAAGATTATTGGTAAAATTAAAATATCTTAAAAATTTAAACATTTGGTCGAAATTATGCAGGTCAGATACTAGGTTTGCCAAATGCTTTATGGTCATAAGCTGCTTCTTTTACTTTAGAAAATTGCTCAATTTACCTACTTTGACGACATTAGATTCTAGATAAGGCCTGGGGACATGGGGTGTTAACCATACCCACTAGCAATGCTGGAAAAAGTCAGACCTATCTGCATTTCTGTCTGTGTCCCTAGGCTCCATGCCCAGTACATAATTAAAATGCTTACAAGCCAGGGTCTTCATCAAAAGTAAAAAAAATCACTAAATGTTAACATTGTAACATGTAATTGAAATACTGAGGAAGAGTTCTACACATAAGGTGTGCAAGGAAAATGAAATGTGTTTTGATAAAAGATTATTAGAAGTCATGGAAATGTAAATTTTCTTTCTTCAATTAAATGGTTACATTATTATTTTGAGTTAGATAGAATGAAGCTGAAGGTTTAAGCAAGTTGTGGAAAGTTTGTGAAAAATTAATTGGAGGAGATTCTCTGTGTGAATATATTGGCTAAAGTTAAAGGGGTATTCAGTTTTTCTATAAATTAAACATTGGAATAAAAGCATAAGTTTTTTTAAGAGCAGAAACCAGCTATGATTTGCTCTTTAACAAAAATATTTAAAAATTAAAGAAAAAGAAAAAAAACCCAAAAAATATGTAAAGGATTATAAAAGGTTTGTGAAAATCTTACTTTGTAGTCAAACTGATTAAGATTGCATACATTTGTCTATAAGGTTTTATAAAGAATTGGGTTTGTCATCAATAATGCACTAATGCAACAGTTACATTTGGCTTATTTGGTACAAAAATCATACTGGAAGCATTATCAAATGTAAAACAGTGTTTGGATTTCTTTGGGCTGTAATTGTATAAATGTGTTATTGGTAAGTATCCAAAATTATTTTTAAAAGTCTTATAATTCTGATATGACTTAGTGTACATTGTGAATAATTATAGTTACAAAGAATCATTACATGCCACAGAAGGAACCAAATTTCCTTATCAATTGTGACTTTAATAGTGGCTATCCTAAGACTTTTTGTCATCCACACACAATTGTTGTCTTGTTTTAATCCTCTTCAAAATGTGGTTTATAATCAACTATAGAACTCTAACAGATGTTCTTAAATGTAGGTTTCTGATAACTTTGGAAATTGTGACATTAAAATAAAGGAAAACAATTTCAAAACTCTCATGGAAAGCTGAAACGTTCATGAATATCAAGCAAAACAGGAGTTAACTGAATTAGCTGAACCAATAGAAGACTAAAGTAATCTTTTTAACTTTGCTTAAAATGCTGCTGATCCTTTGTTTTGTTTTTCAGAGTTAAGGAAATTATCTTTTGAGCTATTTGCAACTCGTGGCAATTGAGTAAAGTATATTGCTATGAATAACATTTGAAGCATATTTGTTTCTCTCTACCTAATTTCTCCAGAAACTATTTGTGAATATTCTTAATTTATGACACTATAGTTATTTCCGTAAGTGTAATAAGAATCTTTTCTTTTGCACCAGGATACAAGTGCAAACACTGGTTATTTTACCAACCGTTTGACTGGAATGGTGTGTTTTCTTTTAAGGAATCAAACTTGATTTATAAAGCCAATAAAAGCCTCTTAGAAAATTGGCCTCAGAACTTGTCTACAACAGTCCCTGTACAGGGTTTCTGACCTGTGGTAAGTAAAGAATGTCCTTCCTTACAGGTCCAGGAGCGCCAGTTATCTTGGATGCCCAAAAGGAGGGGAATTTACTCACCTCATAGGTATGTGAGGGTACAAACTTATGGCCGGGCTTGGCTCTAAAAAGGTCTTATCTGAGATTCCTTCTGTGGAACAAATTTCTATCAAAGCCAATTTTAAAAGAGCTTATATAAAAAATAATTATTCTCATTGCACTTTATACAAACAATCAAGTATAATAAAGCAAATCAGTCTTACTATGATTTGTCTTTAGTAAAAATGGGAAACTGGAGAGAGAAATTATGTTTAAAAAAAAGTACAGTGGCTCACGCCTGTAATCCTAGCACTTTGGGAGGCCGAGGTGGGTGGATCACCTGAGGTCAGGAGTTCGAGACCAGCCTGGCCATCATGGTGAAACCCCATCTTAAAAAAAAATTTAAAAAAAAAAAAATGTACAGTACACTTATTAAATTCTAGTCTCATCAGTTGTTTTTAAGTTTGTTTCTGCAATTTAGGATAACCCTGTCAGGTCTCCATATGCAAGCCTGGAGCCCGAATGTCAGGTCTCATATGCAAGCCTGGAGCCTGAAAGCCTGAAGTCCTGCCTGCCCCAGCTGA